AATTTGTGCAGAATAATAATGCACATTATTAAACATCAATTTAATAATGCAAATTACAAAACCTATCAGTACAGCTTTGCTTAGCCCGAACCAGGAATGATTAGTAAACCCATGTTTGTCAGTAGTTTTCTATGAAATTATGTGCTACTATTTTGCACTAATTCTTCCATCAATCCTTCGTATTACTCTTAGAGTATTTAATAATAACAATATTATTAAAATATTAATATTAATAATCCAATTTGATATTATTATTAAATACTCTAAGGTATTACTAGGCTCCAAATTCTAAAAATATTTACTATCCCTTCCCTTGACTATTCCTAGTGGAGGTCGTCTCTATAGCCCCCCTGGTTAATTTTTGTTCATATTTAACTTCATGTTATTTCGTGAAAAAGCAGTATGGATCTCTGGTCCAAATTTCAGCTTTCTATGTTAATTTCTGAAAATCGGTGGGGGTCACCCCATAGGGTCCCTCTAGATGAAAATTTTACTAATTTCACTTCATATTCTTCCATTACGGGCCATTAGCAGCCTCTATACAAAATTTCAGCTCGATTGAATGATTTTGAAAAATCGGTATGGGTCACCCCTCGGGTACCTCCGGTTGACAAATTTTCCAATTTCACTTCATATTCTTTCATTAGGAGCCATTAGCAACCTTTGTACCAAATTTGAGCTTTCTATGACGATTTTGAAATTTTGGTGCATAATACCCCACCCACTCCGATGACCCCCACCGGTCAACCACTGGACCAATGTCACCCATCTTCGAACTCGTTTCCTTACTTTGTCCAATATGCATATGGTAAAAATTTCAAGTCAATCGGTCAACTCGTTCGAAAGTTATCGAAAGACAGACGGACAGACAGACAGACGGACAGACAGACAGACAGACAGACAGACAGACAGACAGACAGACAGACGGACATGACAATTACATAAGCCCTGGTTCGGGCTAAAAAGTAAGTGCATAAACTGGGGTTGTGTCATATTTGTTAATGTGGTGGATGTTTTGGGCATGAAATCAAGGTAATTATGTAGTATGGAATATTCAAATGTATGTACATATGTGCAGGGAAATGAATAAATGGCACGTTTTGCTTCATTTGAACGCCATTTACAAATTAAAGCTGCATCCATAGTCCGTGATTTGTTCATGATTTGGTGATGCTTTCACGGGGTCATAATTTCAGCATGTTAATCACCATAACAATTAAAATATCGACCAATAAAAAAATCGGAAATAAATAATTTTTGGAAAGTTATGGAGTATGGATGCGATAAACCATCAAATCATGACGAAATCATGAACAAATCACGGACTATGGATACAGCTTAACAAAGATTCTGATATAGCTTATGTATTTAACGAATTTCTAAAATTAACCCTCTAATCCTCTATTCCTAAGCAATATAACATATTTTTATATTTCTTATACATATGTAGATGATGTATTATTAATATTTCTGGATAATAAAATATTCTAAGTTTCGAAATATTTTTCTACACATGAATTTCCCCCTTCTTGGAAATTGAGTAAAAAAGTTAAATTCGTGCAAATATAAGGTTCTCAAAATGCCAGTAAAACTTTCAGTTAACATTTCAACCCACTAGTAATTATAAATAACGTTTAGCATAGGAAGGAATCCTTCAACTTTAAAATTGACAATATTTGGTCTTTTAGAATGTGTAAAAACTGAGAAAAAAATTCTTTAAAAAAAACATACTAAACAGATTGTACTTCTTACTACTTGCAGATTCATCTTAGAATTTAGATAAGATAATAAGTGGATGAATAATGGATTTGTTACAATCCTGTATACATATACACAATTTCTAATTTCTAAACATGATTTATGCATATATAATTAACGCGGATTTTTGTAACCCATTAAACCCGGCAAATCATGCAAAATAAAGAAAATAAAGTATTGCGAACTTGTTCAAGATCGAACGAGTTTTTTGTAAAAATTTAGACAATCATTTTTGGAAAACTTGCACAATCTGCGAAATAAATACGGATAATTGAGCAATTTCCCAAATTCAAACGACAATACGTATTTTCAAATCCGATCAATTTACAAATTGTAGCAACTTCACGTCGTTCTCGTCATTCCTATGAAAATATGTAGCATAAATTTCACGAGATTAATTGGCTTCATTTCAAAACCCAATAGACTCCAAATTCTTCACACATTTCTCCAAGTTACACAGACAGAAACCTAGTTTACAAATTATTTTCAACTTATTCAGAACGACAGCGATTTTTTGGATTCTTTAAACGATGACAAAGCAAAATTGTGTACCACCTCTAATCATAAGTCCACTGCATTTTAACCTCAAAATACTTAGCAATCCATAATTGGCATTATTTTTGTAAAATTGCAAATATTCAGCATAATTTTATAACACTATTGAATTCGAATGAATAAATGTGGCCAGTTTTAGCATCATATTTTGCATATATTCCACGCAGACGTTTTGCGAGCTCCGTGCTCGTCTATCCCGTCATGCTGATCATGGGATGACTAACTGAAATTTTTTTGCAAGGATGTGTTTTCGGAAAGACGGAGGAAATTGGGAGGGTTGGATGGAGGCGAGAGACTAAAAATAAATATCTGGATAATTTATAACCTTTATTACGCTTGATAAAAGCAGACGCGACGATGAACATGTTCCCCACATAATTCAGCGTTCTAGAGTAAACCACAAACTATTTTGGCGTATTCACCACAAAATTCGCAGACACTCTTCATAATTCGCAAGTGCATAAAACATGCGAAGAGGGAGGTAAATATGACGTGCTATCTTTCCCATGTTAATATCGGTATCCAGGGGGTTGGGGTAAAAATTCTCCGAAAATAAAGCCCGTACTTTATGCATGGTCCTTATCAAAACCGATTTTTCGGATAAAAAAGAATAATATGGCAAAGATTTTGGAAAAATTTATTGGCTTGCTAGGAGAAAAATTCGAAACAAATTTGATTTTTCACCGTAAATAAGTAAATATAGTAAGATTTACCACACAAAAATCAAATTAACAAAATCCTTTACATCAGATTATAAATAAAATTGGAAATTTTCAATAATTTAATAATCTCCATAAATAAATTGGACGACAATTTTCATAAATTGTCCCAAATTTATCACATTTTCTACCTTTGACCTGCATACCCCAACCGTGAATAAGTCGTTCTGAATCTGAATGTGAAAAATGTGGTAAGCATGTGAGATTGCAATCCCCACGTAAAAAACGAAATGTGTTGTTTAACCTCAAAAACTGAAGAGGAGACGACTTCCTTCCTTCCGTAAATTTGCCCACTTGGCAGATTGTTGAATGGAGACGATTTTTTTGCAGGAAAAAATTGTGTCACGCGATTTGATTTGCGACATTTTGTACACTTTTGTAAATAAGCCTTCGATTTGCTTATTACGAAATATGCACGATGTGAGTCACAACTTTTGAACAATGCAAAAAAATAAGCAAGCCAACTTTCATGTGCGGAATGTAAATATGGTGAATCATTTTTTCTTTATATTTAGCGAATTAAAAATTATTTATTTATTATTTTCGAAATTTGTAATCAGAAATATTCCAAAATTTTGAATACTTATTTTGAGGGGGCTTTTTTATCTTGTCGTCTCGGAATTAGATCGAATTACATGACTCCAAATTTGACGACTAGTGAGAAAGTTGAGATTTATTGGACTTGACGAGCCGTAACTTTGTGTTAGACACTTGCTCCGGTGATACACTCTTATTAATCCCGTAAGAACCTGTTACCGTTTGGTGACAATACATATGCATACGAGTAAATATAGCAGAATTAATAAGCGTTGATATATTTGCTAAAAAAGAAACTATATTTACTACCACTTTTTACAGTGTGCAATTTGTCCCCCGAGTCGCGGCGTTACTGTGGACTCTAAGAAATTCTGGATAACCGGATGAAATGTGACCGCACCGGCCCGGTGATACATATTGGCAGTGATAATCTATCACCAATCAGGTGACAACGTTTTTTAGAGTGTGGGCCGTGGAGTCTATCATTAAAAAAATGTTTTTCCTTCGCATACTTTGGCGCAAAGTGAATCATAAAGTATGGAAAACATTCGGAACATTATGTAAGATTATTACGGACAAGAATGTCGTCTCTGCTCGTCTCCATTAATATCATCCTCAACCTCATCAGGGGAACTCACGTCAAAAAAAAGTTTTCAAGTTTTGTATAGCGAGGATGTGGTTACATTGGAAGCTTGCAAAAAAACTAAAGAAAATTGGCTGACAAAAGTTATTGACGCAATTGACTCAAATTTGCAACCAATTAAATTCAACTTCAGTTTAATCCACAAACTCCGTTAATTGAAAATCCACCCCTTAATCTTATTTACACAAATCAAGGGCACCCCTATATATTGTTAAAATTTGCAAAATTATTGTACATATTTTACCGAGTTACAGAAATTGGAGTTTTGTTAAGCATTTTGCAAGTTGTCTGAGTACTTCAATGGATAACGGTAATGTTGTTTATTAAAATTTCCAAATAAAATTTTATCGTAAATCTGCACGGGACATTTTTTTTTATTTTTTTAAGTTTGACGAATTTAAAAATTTGATTACCGAATTTTTCAAATGCATGACTAGTACTAAAAGATTGTCAATTTAACGTTCATGCGGTGTGTGTCCCCAAGAATATCGAGATCCAATTTTTTGCACTTTCATTGAGCACAATCAAGGAAAAAAAATGTGGAGGTACAAGGGACCCTGGATAACGCATGTGGTGGATTTGTGGAGGTGGACTCCTTCCTTATTATATCATGGGACCTATACGTAGGGATCAAAATTCTGCGTTCCTGGATCCCACGCTTTCTGCACGGTCCCTGCAATGGAATCGAGCGCAGTGGTTATTTTTAATTTCATAACGACTCTGAGCGATTGAGACGACCAGGATACTCATCTTTTTATCTGCCTAGAAATATGTATCTGGATTTTTCTGTGCAGAAATCGGAACCAGATTGCACCCAGACCACGGCCCAAGAGGTCCACCGAATTGCACGCCGAATAATCAAGGGCAAGGAGGCTTTCGCAATATTCCCAAACTCCTTAAAACTTGGAAATTGCCGTACTTAAAAATAGTCTCATAATTAAGGAATACGATGATATTATTATAAGTTAGTGAAGTTAAGTAATTGGTTTACATAATTACGAAATTGAGTTTCGGGGCAAAACGAGATTTACTCGGGGGTGCAAATTTTTGCAAGGTTTTACCAAGAAGGATTTGACATGGCGGAGTATATTACATTGGAGGGGGAAGCTACCCAGCTTGGTTATGCGAGTAAGCAAAGATTCCCATGATTTTTTTAAAGTTTAGAAATTAAGAAAATCTAAAAAAATAAGTTGAATACTTGTAACCCAATTTTCTTTTGCAATCTTTGAAAACATGCTAAAAAATTTTTATTTTATGACGTTTACAATTTGTAAATTACAAAGACAACTGTGTAAATTGTCTCAAAACTTTTAAACTCATTTGGATGGTCCAAATAAAAACTTGTCATTCTGTGACAAATTCCTTTCGAGATGAAAAAGGGACGATGCGATTGACTTTGGTTCTCCTGGTTTGCCCCACGGTTGACGGTACTACCGTGATGGTAGGATTAGCCACTAAATACCTACAGTGACAACATCACATAACTTCCCACCTCATAATATAAAATAATAAAAATATGGAGTCGTAATTTAAATAAGTAATTATGATTATTTTGAACTGGACAATTTATTACAGAGCCGTGTATGACACATACAAATGTGACCCCCCACGACTACAAATATAAGACTCCCCACCACATTGATCTACTTGTTTAAAATAAATATAAATGTTTTCATTAGCGAGTAATGACGTGTAAATGTGGCAAATTTTGTCATGAAATATTTTACAAGTATAAAAAGTTCCAGTTTTCCTTAATTTGCGTTATCATTACGCAGAAATATTAATAGGAATTAACGTCTTAGGGTGTTTAGTTTTGCAAAAAATCAGTTTACCATAAGCAGAAAATATTAGATTAAAAACTCAATATTAATTGCAGTGTCAAAATTTCAGTTAATCTGTTAATGATGTCGTGTACATAATCTTTTTCGTGTTAAAATTTATACTAATACTTAAATCTACTCTTCATCCTTAGTGCTACTCTCTAAAGGGTAAAAAACTATAAATAATTGTCCAAATTTTCCATTTCATGCGAATTTGGTAAAATTACTTCAACTTCACCCTGAAATTAATCCCACATTTCAAATCTGAGACTTGAGACATTTTAAGTAAAATCAATTTATGAGCTATGATTAAAAAGTATGTGACAATTTCATGCAATTTAGTCGTACTAGTAGAAAAGATGCTTTCATGAGGTATATGCATTTTTCGATCTTTTGCAGCTCTTTAACACATTTCTTAATTTTTGTATATATTTTTAGCAAATATTCGTTCCTCACATAAGGCTAATGGATTACATAGAACATGGATCAATATGTAAATATTGACATGATTTGTTGATTATTTGATTTATTGATTTTTTTCTGTTTTAATTTTAATCTTTAATCCTTGTTCATCTTAGCTAACTTCAAAACCTACAAAATGGCATTCAACCTACACAAATTACAAACTGTGTGTATTTCGAGTTTATTTACATATTACAAACGTCGTCGAATGTAAGAAGTTGAATTTTAGAAGCCCTTGTTCAGCCTTGTTGTTACCACTCTGATGTAGAATGGCACCCACGCTTTAAGACAAATTAATATAGAAACACAATTGTCAACGAATTAGACACGATGCGGATGTCACCCGTTTGCTTAATATTCGCTAAAAAAAATAATTACTTATTACCTAATTTTTCACTGAAAGAACCTGAATTTTTCACCGTAGACACATTTGTAACTTCCAGATCATCAATTTGTTTTTTTTAATCGAAACTCGATTTTCTTTGTCACTTTCAGACGTGCCGAACACCTTCAAGATCAACATGTGCGGGATGAACGTGTCGAAATTGATGGTTTCCTTCGAGGGTCCAGCGAAACCGGAAGTGATGCTGACCAGCCAGCGGGACGGGACGGTGGACTGCACCTACCGCACCATCGTCGAGGGCGAGTACACCATTAACGTCACGTTCGACGAGGAACACGTGATCGGCTCCCCGTCCAAGACACAAGTCAAAGGGGAGCTCATCGTGGACACGTCAAAGGTCAAGGTCACCGGAGCTGGGTTGAAAGAGGGCAAGAACAGGCAGCTCAATACGGTCACCGTGGATCCAAAGGAAGCCAAAATTACGAGTGAGGGGAAAAAATATATATTTTGAAATATTACCAAAAATGTTGGTAACGATTTTATACCGGGTAATGAATAGTAATCGTATGGCCATGTTTTATGGGTACAGGTCAGCTGCAGGTGTACATGGAGGGGACGAGCAAGCCGGACGTGTCGTACCGGAACAACGACAACGGGACGAGCACGGTGACCTACAAGCCCTACACGATCGGAGAGTACAAGCTCCACCTCAAGTACATGGACCAACCCGTCCCCGGATCACCATTCACCCTCAAAGTCAAAAATTAGCGGAATTTTGAAAAATTATCTAACTATGTAATCAATACTTTCCTATTTACAGAGACGGTTCACGCCAAGATTTGTAACTGTGTAAAATGAGTAGAGTTTAAAAAATCTTGTGCACAAAAATGTCCTAAAATTTGGTTTATTTATATTCGGCTGACCAACTTGATGTGCATCGAGGGTGTACAATTCATAAAGCTGAGCTAGATTACAGAGTTTAGTCATTACCTGCCTGAACTAAATCGAATTATTTATCCAAGAGAAATTCTTGTGATCAAAATGATGAAATCAAAACTTGTCTAAAGAGCGATTCATGCCAAGCTATGTAACTGCGTAAACGGTGAAAGTCATAAATTTGAGGTATAATTTCAACGGATTATCATTTCATTTTGTTAAATGTGTAAAATAGATAAATAATTTTGAAACCGTTACAAACTTGACATGAACAGTCTCAATGATGTTAAATATCGGCCTGAGCAAAATCGACCTAATTATATGTATTATATGATCGAGAGAGTTGGCCAATTGATGGCAAATTTTTCATGGAAATTTGGCCGTACCCCGTTGTTTAGGGACCCTGCCTAAATTATGTGATTTGATTTGGGTGTCAACATTATCAAATTCTTTATATCCGGTCCCTTCTCGAGGAGTCTCACCTCGAACCCATGATATCCAACGTGTTATTTTTATTACAAAAAATCAAAATTTAATTATTCGTTAGGAACATGTGTGTATGCACTCACTTTAAAAAATGTGGTAATAGTCAATTACCGAGCGGTAATAACACTTCAATTAATATGGTAACAATTAGTAACAAATCCAACACTATGCATGCAGTGCCGGAATATGTATAACTCTACCGGTTTGATCACGAAACGGAAGTTGTAAAAATCTTGCTTAACAAGTCCAAATTGTCATTACACATTTGGTGCCAAATTATAACCAAGTCAAGTAACAAACTTGAAAGAGTTGGTAATAGCGTTTGTTATCTGCAACGTAAAAAATATTTGTTATTTGTCGCCAGATATTGTCACCATACTGTAACAAAGCAAGTATTTTTATTACCACATTATTTAAAGCGTAGTGAAATGTAGAAATGTTCCTAAATGAGTTTACAAATTGAGTGTTAATAATATTAGTTAGATAAAATTCATGGAAAATTAGAATTACATAAAATTGTTACTTAAAATATAGTCGAATCATGTTGTTAAATGTGATGACAAAAATTAAAATTATTCGTTTTTTTGTTTTCGAATAAAATTGAAAATTAATATTCTTTTCGAAATTTGTAATTGATCGAAACGGCGCAAATCATAAAAGCTACTTAATTACAAAAAACTGGTCACTCGTCACTCGTCATTCGTCATCAGTGCATCTTCAATGAGTTGTTGTAGCTATTAATTTGTAGTAAAATATACTTTTGGAATTAAATATCCACAACTCATAAGAGAAATTTATTTATTATGCATGCACAAACTTACGACATCCCTTGACAAAGGCAGTTTTTGTATGAAAAAGTTAGGTTTTTCATACAAAAGCGACGCAACTGAAACAAATATGAATACATTTTCATGATCAAGAATATCTAGGTACTTGCACTTGCATAGCTCTTAAAAGTCTGAACGAATGCAGGTGGCTCTTATCTTGGTGATAAGGCAGCCAGACGCTGGAATACTCATGACTGATAATTTTTGTCAGATCAAACATGAGTAAGTGATGGAAAATACGTACTTGCATTTATAACCAAGCGGCAGTTCCCGTGAAAGTTGTACTGTGTAACTTATTGAGTAAGGTTATTTTACAAATAAAGTGACATTTGTGAAGGTGAACTAGATATGCACTATTACGATACATTTGTAACCTTGCTTTCCTGTGTACACTTACTGTGTTGAAAGTTACAAGTCAACCGTTCTTGTAAATAATCCCGATTTGTGTAAGTTTGGAAAATATTTGTGACCTGATTTTCTGCATAATATTTGCAAACTTTTAGAAACGGTTATAACAAGCCACGTAACTAAAAAATTTTGACTGCGCAAATTTTACAAGGTTACAAATACCCTTTTGAATTAAAGCCCAAAATCAGGCCGGCCCCACGCAGAATGGACGCGATCTTATCTTCCATGGAGGACGCGGTGTATGAACCGTTGGTTTCGTCATTCACGTCCAAACCGCACCCATTCCTGGAGCGTGACACCCTCCTCCGACAAACCCTCGGCCTCACCCTGATCGTCAACCTGGCCGGATATTTCCTCTACTTTTTCGCCGCTGGGATGAGCTATGTCTTCATTTGGGATAAACGGTTCGAGAAACATCACCTCTTTTTAAAGGTAAATTACATGTTGTTACCATCTGGTAATAAGTGCTATAAAATTATGAGGTTAGGAGTTAAACAGGCTACATGAAAAATTGGGTATCCCATAATAAACTGGACAAGTTACACGTCTATTTTCCAAATTATGCAACAGTGGCTCATTAAACTAACATTATTTAGATATGTATGATGGTTACCAACATTCAGGTTCGGGTGTTTTGCTTATTTATGAACATTTACAAACATGGAATTTAGGAAATTGAGGAAATTAAATGTAATGTTTGTAACCCAGTAAAATCAATTAATTTACAAACGGTTTTCACAAGGGTTTAAAAAAATTGTAAGCTAATTTTGCTCACAAATATTTGCAAAAGTTGGCAAATTAACTTTACAAAATTTAAGGGTTGTACAAAGGTATCAACTGCTTGAATTACTTTAATGCTGCACAGTTTACCCAGTTATGTTACACGGTGTACATAGTCGGGAACACTCAAGTGTCAACAGCCGATTGCTAAAAAACTACGCCGCAGAAGTAAAATCTGATAAGTGCATTAGATTCGCCATGCGATTTACATTATGATTCACTATGGACTTTGTAATTTTTGAACATCTGGATAAATATACAGGAAATTGAAGAGAAGCGGGCGGCGATAGTTTTTCACAAAAAAAATCGCAGAAAAACAGTGAATTTGACATGTGCTGAAAAAGTCAAAGGTGTACTTTAATTTAGCCCAACGGACTATAAAAACATTCATGGGGACCGAATCGACTAAGAACAGTCGAAGAAGAATTTTTTGAAAACCTCCAAGGACCACACCCATCGTGAAGCTTCTCAAGCCTGGAATCCGAAGAAATTCACGAAATTCCAACGGAAACCGGGCTCACTGCTGACAGTGTCGATGCAAATTATCCAATGAGTGCTCAAATTGAAGCTTAGGCTTAAGGCTTTGAAATGTGGTACTTGCCACATCCTGATCGTACCCCAAAGGAAAACCAGATTAAAAAAATGCAGGAGTCACCTCAAGCGGTACGCTCCAGAAAAGTGAGCAGGATTCTTTTTAAAAATGAGGAGATTTTAACATCGGAAAAATCTTTTAACAAGCGAATTGTCCTAATCTACGCAAAATCGGTCAGAGACATCCCCCGATATAGATAAAAGTCAGAAAGTCACATTATCCGGGTTTTTTGATGATTTTGGCAGATGGGAGCTAATTGGGGTAATTTCTCTACATTTTGCTGAAAATTGGGGGGGAGGTGGGGGAATCAAATTTCTTGAAATATGTTTTTGAGTCCGTGGTACATCCCTTAAGTGAGATCCAATTCAATGGAATCGATGGGACCTCTCAGCAGGACTCAGCACGAATTTATAGTGCAAAAAATGACCCAAGCGTAGCTAAAAAACAAATTCCGGTCTTTATCTCCGAATAGAAATGGCTATCCTATTTGTTGGATTTGAACCTCCGGAATATGAAAAATGGTCAAAGTTAGGGGCAAAGGTGTGTTCTAAGCCCCGTAGAAGTGCGGAGGCTTGGAAAAAATTTCTGACCCGGGAATGCCACAAAATGTCCCTGGAATCGGTGCGTAATTCCATCGAGGAGTGGCCGTCTCGTCTTTAGCGTGGCATTGACGCAGGAGGAGAAAAATTTTAAGACTAAAAATTGTTTTTGAATTGAAATTTATCTGGCTTTTCGGTAAAATAAATCAAAAATTGCTAAGTTGAGATTTACAAAAGTAATAAAGCTATATGTCATTGACACTTGAGTGTTTCCGACTATGTACATTGTGTCACTAAAAATTAATGTAAAATTGTATCTTTATTTTGTAATTCAGAATCAAGTCTCTCGCGAAATCGGGGTGTCATCGAGGTCGATTTTGCTCATGAGTTTCCTCACGATGCCGTTCTTCCTGCTCGAGGTGCGCGGCTATTCGCGCCTTCATGACGAACTTCCCAGCGCGGGGTCGCTAATTTTGTCCATCGTGACCTTCGTCCTTTTCACGGACTGCGCGATCTACTGGATCCACCGCTGGTTGCATGCCCCCCTTCCCTACAAATTCCTGCACAAGACGCACCACACGTGGAAAATTCCGACGCCATTCGCATCCCATGCGTTCCATCCTATGTGAGAATTTCTTATTTTTTCGATTGAGCAAAGGTATTTACGCCGGCTTTGTAAACTGTGCAAGGTTTGCATGTTGAGAAAACTTAATTTTGGACACTACGAGATCGATGTAGGTAAAATTTGCGAGAAAAATTAGCTCTCAGAATTTTTGCGAAATTCTGTAAAATTGGTGCTCTTATGAATTTTAACTTGTTTGCAATAATCTCAATCGAAAAGACTACATGAATATTTTGCAAAAATTCATAGGAACATTCGTAAATATACAAACTCACATTACTAATAATTTTAGTTAAGTCATTATTTCAAAATTTTCCAGATCGATGCCTAATTTGAACAAATCTTTTCGATTTTTCCAAGGGACGGATTCCTACAAAGCGTGCCGTATCATATTTACATATTTCTCTTCCCAATGAACAAATGGCTTTATTTGGGAATGTTCACGTTGGTCAACTTTTGGACGGTGTCCATTCACGACGGGGACTTCCGGGTGCCCAACTTTCTGAAGCCGTACGTCAACGGGGCTGCCCATCACACGGATCACCACCTTTTCTACAATTTCAATTATGGACAATTTTTCACGCTGTGGGATCGCATCGGTGGAAGTTTTAAGGAACCAAGCTCATTTCAGAAGGATTCTCCATTGAGAAAGTTGACCAAACATAATAATTGAACAGTTACTGAGAAAAATTCTGAAATTTTTAGGAAATAAAAATCGTACTTTGTTCCGTCCGATAAATAAATTACTTTTTTGAAGATAGATATTTATGTTATTGAATTGAAGTTTTATTATACTGATTTATATGAACAAGTGATACACGTAATAATGACAAAGAATACAGAAGATAGCTCTACTCTAACTTGGCAATATATCTTACAAACAACTTGCCATGTTTTAACAGTTTGCACCCTACTTAAATATTTATGTTATTGCGAAAGCTTTTAACCACCTTAAACTCCGTTTCACTTTACGTGAGTTCATCACATTAAGGATTAGGAACCCGAATAAATCATTCAATTTCGTATGATTTTTACGCCAAAATAAAAATAACTGATGTCAAATGTACTTTATGTGAAGAACGCACGTAAGTAAAGTGAAACGGAGTTTAGGATGCTCGAACTCAAACTCGTTGCAGATCTAAAAACTTAAAGGGCTTTAATGTTTATGAAATTACTAAATATGGCACCCAAGTTGATCAAGTTTCTGACTAAAATCTAGCCACAATCTTTGCAAATTGTAACCCTGTAAATTGCGTTATTTAGAAACTTTTGTAAAATACTTAAAACTCCGTCGGTCAGAAAGGTTGTGAAGTTTACGATGCCATCTTCACACCATGTTGAGCTTGTGGTAAAGTGTATATTTAAATCCACGCAGATTAGCATGTAAGCACTTAAGTGCGCAAGTATTTAACGAACGACTGGATGAATCATTACCAAAATCGTAAAAATCAGCACATTTCCAGTCATTTCTCAGCTCTGGGAATTTATTTTATAATTCTGGACGACAAATTTATGGAGCAGCAGGTCGTTGCCAATTAAAAAAACTACACTTCAAATTTTGACACTTTTTGAAGGAGATCTCAAGTTTAAGAAGTCTTCAGAAAAATTGGTACTCATCGAAATTGGGTTATCGTAATTTAAAAAAATCTGGGCTATTCTATTAATTAACTCACTAAATACAAATTTGTCGTCTGTAACTTTCAAATAAATTTCCAGAGCCGAGAAATGATTAAATATCCGATGATTTGGCGATTTTGGTAGGGAGTCATCGGTTCCTACGTTAAGCATTTGTGCAGCACTTAATTGTATCGCATTGGCTTCACGAAATTTCAATGTCCACAAAAGGTGCACTTAACGTAACGGTAAGAACTTGTTATAATTTAACTATAACGGAGGTTACCAGGTATAAATGCATCTTAAGTAATTCATACTTACAATTTGTGACAATAAATTATTCACGATCTTAGCAAAAAAACATACAATCGAGGAATCCAATGGAAGTCGAGTTGACTAATGTCAATATCTTAACATACGTACTTCTTTTATTTTACATACTCTTAAACTAGACTGAACTATATATTCAAGTTAAATTATTGTTAGTTAATAATTAAAATATAGAATAAAATACGGAATATTTTTAGAATTATGTAAGTGCACGAATTTCCTATTTCATTTTAATTGTGGCTAAAACTCGGGAAAATGAATTTTAACCAATTTCAGATATACTTTAAAGTCGGATTCATAATTTTCATATATTTTGGATGTACAGATTTTGCAAAATGAGGCGGAAGATGTAATTATAAAATGAAGACAAGGTTTGATTTTTAGAAATACTTGGCTCATTTTAAAGCAGAAGTTAATTAGCTACATTTACGCTCTTTCTATTATAGTTACAACCTTTCAATATGTTTTGAGTTGTTAGCAAATAACGAGAGGAAATTTATATGAAATTCGGACTTATCTATTTGACGTCACTTGTAAATAGTAAATACATACATTTCACAAATCTCGGATTGATGTGAAGCCGACGTGGATCCGACTTTGGTGTGTAGAATTGTGTAACGAGAGACGAGATCAGAAGAGGAACCCGCACGTGGAGGACGTTCACCTTCCCCAAGTTGATTTAGGTGAAAGCAAAAAAGAGAAAGCAGCCCGGGCCAAAAATTTATTCGGACCATGCAGAAAAAATGTGCCACATTTGGACACACTTTAATGTCAACTTAATCAATCTGGATGTCGTGCCTACCTGACCCTGGAAATCTATGAGGTTTCAAGTGCAAAGTATTGCAGAAAAATCCAAGTAAACTTTGGTAAAATACAATTTCAAGTTCGAAACAAATTTTGATTTTTCTTAATCCAGGTGATTCGCAATGACCCTTGCAAAAATCAGGCCAAAAAGGACGGCACAATTTATGCATGGTGTCTTCTATCGTGACCAGAAGGTTGTCCTATATTCTTCTTTCTGGAACGTGTAGGATAAGCCGCAGTGCTCGTCGAGTAGATGATGCGATGAGTTCTGGAGAGGTATTTCCCCGTCGGGTTGGGCTGAATGAAAGCGGCGAAAGGAGAGACAGGGACGAATCCTGAGACAAAGAAGGGCGACAACTGAACTGAAACTACTCATTTCTAGGTCGCCACCAGGAGTAAGAGCTTCATCAGCAAACACGCGAAATAATGCGCGACAAAATTGTGTCCATTTTAGCACTAAGAAATTGGATATTTTTTTTAAGTAGGGAAGATGACAATGGTTCAGCACTCGGACGTAGTTTTTGCCATTATTGACAAGAAATTTTGACCTATTGCCCATACTTTTTGTAAAATATAGCACAAACCTTTATCACACTACAAACGAGTACTTATCACGCTTACTATTAGCGTGAGTTGACCAAAAAAATGTAATTTGAGACCGCCTATAGAATTTAATTCGTCACCTGTCGATATCAAGTTAATTTTTGAGACACATTCTTTACTATTTCTGATCAATGTACGCATACGCGGATTGCTACCAAATTTTGGTTTACAAATATGCATTTCATTTCACCAAGTTGAGATAAAATCATTATTTTTTGCTCGGACAAATCATTTCGGCTATCACTTCAATAAAGGTTATGAAAAAGGCATTAAAATTAAAGCTACTTTTACATGCATTCCTTATGTAAAAATGGCTTTAATTATAATGCATCGACCATAACTCCCAGAATTATTCTGTATTTTCGACTTAAGTTTAACACCCAGAGAGATTAAATTTTCTGTGCAACTTTACCACATGAAATACGTTGTTTGATGAAGATTCACTCGTATACAATTATATGTAGATCTTACATTTGTACAATATGTGTTCTGAAAGTTTTAAACAATTGTAAGAAAATTTATTACAAAATTTCTGATGAAAATGTACTTATAAATCTACTTATAAGTTTACGAAAATCGTTACTAATTTGACAAAATTTATGGATTTATGTTGCAAGGACTATAATAAAATGCGTTCATTCACTCATTTAAAATCCACTGAATTTACCTATGTAAATAATCTGGGGAGAGAATTCTGTCCCCACAAATGCTTCTCGTACAGTATTGATAACAATCTTTAAGTTTGTAATCCCGTAATAAACCCGGTCAACTTTAATACAATTAACGTTTCTACATAAATATGTAGAAGTTTACAAATTATTCTCAAATTTATCAAAAAACTAGAACATCTCGAACGCATCTTATTTCAAAAAAATTGATATCACAATTTAACATTCTACCCAACTTCTTCACGATTTATGATAGAATTATTGCCCTACTGCAGTTCCAGGAGTGAGGCAAATTGAGACATTTTCCTCATTTTCTCGTATTGATCTCACTTTCCTTATAACGTTCGTGACTACACTTTCTCTCCCACTTTCTCTCCTCTTATCCGCCACTATCCCTCTCTCGCTCTCTCTCTCCAGAGGAGACCGTATAGAAGTTGAACGTCGTGGTCGGAAACGTGAGGATCGATACCAGCTCAAACTCTCCAGCCCCACATTTCTTCCACGCTGGAGAAAGCAGGCAAAGTGAAAGCACAGCAATAATATTCTTCACCAGCAGGTTTTATCCTCAGTTTTGCTCCATCCACGACCCAAGATAGACATCACGTCATTTCGAGTCACGCCATCCCATGAAAATTCATACAAAGATTACGCAGGAAAGTCAGCAGGTTACAAAATTTATCCGAAACATATTCCCCAGATCAGGGGCGTCTCTTAATTTCGGAACAATTGAAAAAATAAATTTACCAAATTTACAAACATCTCCGCGAATTTTCCCTCTGTTTTGATCTGTACACATAAACATTACCGGACAAATATTTCCACGAGTTTGCAAAGATTTCGAAGAAGGAAAATCAGGCCACAAATAAAGATAAATCCCAAACTTACCCTGATCACTGTAATTGGTTTCAGTTTAAATTGTATCATAATTTTACACACTTACAGTTTACAAATATCCACGTGAATTAGAGTCCTCTTTCATATTATGACTTCTAATAATAATTTTGTCCTCTAAAATTCCAGATTTGTAAATAAAGTCGTCCTTACAAATTTGTTTTCGGGTACCGTTTTCGCAAAGTAATCAGTCACCTCGCACCAATGAATTGTTTCCGTTAGAAGAATAATAATAAGTTGGTTGAGAGAGTGTTACCACAAGCACGAAAGTCTGGCTGAGTATTTGCAGTAGACATTTTTAACCGCAAGTAAGGTTTTATAGCCGGATAATCGCACCCTGACCAGATGGTGGAACCCCATGATTAATACATAAATGCATATGGACACATTAACTAACTATCTACATAACTGATGGTTTCTTCCAGTTGAGTAAGTGCACTAGAATTTCGGGCGAGAATAATATCCACATGTGGACGGGTTTGACCTTAATAATAAATCTAAGTCAGAATCTAACTATATATGTAGCTAGTGGATTTAACAGAGTTACTGATGGACAACAATTACCAACTTATTACACGTTAAAAAGTACAGTAAGTGGTATCTAATCGAAAGAAAAAACAATTTAATTATGGAATCATTCAATTTTAAAGAACAAAAACGTAAATGTGACAAATTTTCCAGAATTTGTGAAATATAGAAAGAGCAAAAATAAAAAATAAATAAATTTCAGTTTGAAAAAATTACGAAATAGACAATACAAAATTACGAAAAGATCTCATTTTCCAAAATTATGCCAGAAAATAATCGCATCTTAAATTAAATTTAATACGCGAACAAAGCAAATTTCATTTTAACGGCGTTTAACAACAAAAACGTAAATAATAAATATTCAATTTTGAACTTGAGTTATCATCTTAAAATTCGCAACAACCAGGAAATAATTTTGTGACACGTTACTTTCATCGACGGGATTGCGACACAATTTGCATATCTCGTAAAAATTGTGACTTCTTGATAAAATACGTAATTCTGACTTTTAAATTGGAATCTAAAATTACAAACATTTTTGATTCAAACAACGATTTCTAATTGTGAACAAATAAAAACAAAAATAACTTTTGCCCCATCAATTAAAAATGTGCGATTACAAGTAAACAAGCTAATTTAATCCTAAAATGACGGATTTGATAAATTCATTAAAAAGTTTTGCCTACGCGTCTGGAGCGATCAATTGCGATCGGAGACATTCCTCAGGACGTAAGAAATTTTGAAATTAAAAACCAAATTTAATTTTTATCAAAATTTTTATTTTCCATTTTATTGTTACAAATTTTGTTATGTGAAGTTGCAAATTTGTTTGTGCAGAATTGAGGATAATTCCACTATTGAATTTGACCGGGGTGGGAGGAGGCGGGGGACGGACGCCGAATGATAACGGATTTTCACAATGGAGAGACGCCATGCGAATGGTGGCACGACTTCCGGGCGGACTTCCGGTCGAATTTAGACTCAAGGTACGCAAAGAAATTTCCAATTCTTCCGGCATACTCATGTCAATTTTTAGAAATTCGCAAACTTTGACTGTAATAAGTAAAGTCGCTAAATTTTGCAAAAGGGTTCATGTCCTCGAAGCTATTTCTGGGATTTAATACATGCTATTATTTTACAAAAGATTTTTCGCAAACTTATTATTCCCCATGGGGTGATCATGCATGACTTGGCGTGAATATACCAACCCGAACTTTGTAATCCTTTTGTTATAGTTTTGCTCAAAGTTGGGAAACTTTGAACAAACTGGATGATAATTTGGCACATGTTGCGATTTAGTTTGCAGCAGATCAAAATGAGTGGATTTTAATCAATCACTACAGCATTCAATATATCGCAGGTTAAACCGAATTTACATGTATAATTGACCATTTTATAAGTTCTCACTTCTTGCATAACATGATGCCAAGTCAATTCCGACAACTTGAAAAATCTAAATTACAAATTTTTGCAAAATTTCGACAAGTTTTCATTAATCCATTCATTTTCAATTACCAATGTCATCACTTCATTTCCGCACGGCGCCATAATTTCGCCATAATTTGCTACACGACGCGTGTTCCAAATTATTCATTACGTAGCTTAATAAATTGCACCACTTTTCTGGGCTAAATTGAGCCACTTTTCTTGGCCAAATTGCCAATACATAAATTCTGCGCGTTGTATAATGTACCATTTTGACTCGTGTACAATAAATACCCCCAAAAATACCTACGGATCGTGCACAAAGCATTCAACCCGCTGTGACCCATCCTATTTAAAATCAACATGAGAAGGGCAGGGCACCTTTCACCCTCTTCAAACCGACCGCATCCTGTGTGCACAGTGCGTTAAGCCAATTATTATCTTTACATTAATAAATCAATTTTCGAGTTCTTTTTGATCTGATCGCATTTTTATGACGAAGCGAAATTTGTCAATTGGCAACATGAAATGAGATCTTCTTCTCAGAATAGAAAATTATTGTTGCATGTCAATTTCATTTTGTATCGTAAGGAATCCATCCAGTGCAGAATATCACTGGTTTTAAATGTATTTCCTTAGTAAAGTTGACCTTAAATGGTCAAACATGATTGCATGTCAAATTGACCCAGTCACATTGACCCACGACAAATTGACCCGCACATATTGACCCAGCGACAGATTGACCCAATACCATATCAATCTGGTGACGGGTCAATCTGGTGCCGGGTCAATCTGTCGCTCGGTCAATATGGTATTGGGTCAATCTGTCGCTGGGTCAATATGTGCGGGTCAATTTGTCGTGGGTCAATTTGACTGGGTCAATTTGACGCGTCACCGTCAAACATGATGGAAACCAGCTTTCACCGGTTTAGTAAGTGATCATACATGAAGGATGTTATCGAGTTTTTGAGAATTTCAACCCTTTTATTAGCAAGTGATATAATAAAAATATGATCGCTTGACACCAACCCCGTCAAATCTGGCATATCCTCTATTCACTGTCCATAATCATAAATTTACTAATTTTTCAAAATATGAGACTTTTGTTCAGAAAGATAAGTCTCACTTGCGAAAAGTATCTCTCCTAGATAAATATCTCCTTTGGCAAAAAGTTGGCAAATCTCAATCTGTTTTTCAAATTCGATACGTACTCATACCAAATACTTATGTAATATTTATATGATCTCCCACGCAGGTCTTACCTTCAAAGTTTCAATATTTGATGAGTTTTTGTTGACATGAGATTATTATGAAACAGAGATCATATTTGCGAATGATATTTACTCTTAGGTGAGAATGTACATTTTTTTGATGGTGGGATTTACTTGGTGCATATGCATAAATGTAAATAAATTACAAAATCTTTAGCGAAATTTATTATTAAATTTAGGATATTAAAAGGGTGAAGCTCTATATCTTAGAAATTTTAGTAGCGGTGCAGTTTACAAAGCGGAGTTGAAGTAGCTCGAAAAAATAAAAATAAAAATCGTAAAAACTATCTAAATTCTCTACAATTCATAGGAAAAATTCGAACTCAAACTCGCAAAAAATCCAGATTAAATTTATTCCAAAAATCTCAAAATTTTAAAATAAAATCAGAATTGTATAATCCTGCGAAGAAAGTTCGAAATTCAATTCGTACCAAAAATTCTGAATTCTGAATTAGAGAAATCTGTTTAAAAACGTCGCTAAACTTGCAAAATCTCAAAATTAGGCCCACACAGATTAAAAATCATAAAAAAATCTACCCTTTTTTGAAACCCTGCTGACCAAAACTCGCTCCACCAATTTGACACAAAGAGAAAGCCAGTGGGCGGCGGAGATTCATTAGACCAAACTCCTCCAAGTCACATCTATTTGTACAAATCCTTATAAGAAAGAGGCAGAGATTTCGAGGCATGATGAAAACTTCTTATTGTTGACACTTTTTGGTCAATTACATGCCCGGTTGAGGGAAAATTGGTCTGGTGGGTGGACAAAGAGAGGAACATATTTGCAGAAATTCTTTTCATTAAGTGACAAGGACTTAGAAAATGGAAATGTCAGACTTCATTGTGTCGCTTCCTTCAATCTCCTCAGTTTTGAGACCGTACAATAAATTCGTGACCGAGATGAGGGGGTGGGTCCAATATGAAGGAGAATGAGACTCAAAATTATCCGTCCTTAAAGAATAGAATAGAAATTCCACTTTTCGAAATAATTTGGCAGTAAACGTGACAATTTCGTAATAGATCTGGCAACTAACTCCATATCTTTTAAACAAAATTAAATTTCGTAACAGATTATGTGCGCCCATCATCATAAATTATTACCAAAGTCTTAAACATTGTAACCGTTTTTTTCTCTTCTCTTTTTACTGCTACACATTTTATCTTCCAAATAAAAACAAGCCCTGACGAATCTTGCTTCTCTCTGTGTCTGGAAATGTCAAATAAAACTTAAATGTCAAACGTCATGAACTTAACGAAGTAAGAGTTCTTAAGAACAAGGGGCCGGAGAAAGTTAAGCCGTGAAGGAGAAGACGGTCGGTGGTGGTGGCGGTTGAGTGGATCAACGCGTTCATAATAAACTCAATTTATTCGGCAGAAGAAGGGTTAACTTTAAAGTGCTCTCACTTACAAGCAGACCACTCTCACATGACAAGATCCACTTAAAATTTCGGTCGTGGGTGGGTGGCATATCATTTGCATATATGGAGAACATGATAATAAGGGTAATGCTACACTCTAAATAATGCCGTAATCAAGTGTTTCTCAGCACGAGGTAAGCCACAGGTTTGGTCAGTAATATGGAAAAATTGGGAAAGTTATAGCTGAATTAAGACGAATACAACTAAATACCTGAGTAATTTGGTAACAAACGTTAATATGTTTTCAGCAAGTGTTCTTGTAAAAATTGAATTTTTCTAACTTCCCCCATTCCGCGTGGAATGTAATTCGCAGATCGATTTAATATCTACGAGTTATAAAATCTGTTACCAATTTCATCGTTAACCTTACCAATTTTTGGTAGACTTTTGGCCACCAAGGTGAAGTATTTTTGTTGTCATCCAGCCAGAGTAAAGATATTTTGAAGTAAGAACCAGCCGAAAATAAATCTGTCCTAATTTCGGAATCATAATTAATTAGATACATTATACACGACCCTACTCTTACATATTTAAATAAATAAGCTGACATAGTTAAACGCCATACTAAATAATTATAAAATCACAAATCAAATAACTTACAATCACAGGTAAAACAAGTTGAGAAGGTGTTACTAACTTTTGTTCCATTCAAATTTGTATTCCATTCAAAAATTTCCAATACGTTACAACTTGTAACGCATTGGGAATTTTATTTTTAATGTTGTAACTTACAAAATTAAAAATAAAATTGCAAAGCTGAATTAACCAATAGTTTGCGAATTAAACAAGACTTGTTTTTAGTTTGTTTGCATAATATGTGGGTCCAAAGATGAGACATAATTTCATAACTCAAGCAGAGCTTGAGAGTGACACAGATCGGATTTTGGAGGAAATACTTATTTGACACGACAAAGTCTACAAAATAGATGAAAATGTTGAGGAGAAAGCACTCTTGAAAGTGGGTTATTTACGAAGGATGAGAGATGTGAGGCAGAGTGACAACTGAAACACGTCAACCTTTCACCACCTTCCCAATATCCACAGATTTCCTATTCATTCCATTTTCCATTATGATTAAACTTGACATTTTAGTGAGATCCGTCAAGTGAAGTGGGGAAGAGAAAGCCACTTTGGTTTTAGTGCTGATGACAGAATAATAAAAGTAGATCTCGCCTCAAAGTAGACTGCCCACGCCCACGCATGTCGTCCCCTTTCCTTTATTGTCACTCCCACAAGTTTCTATTGCCACCACTCTAAAAATAATGGGTACAAGGATGTGATACCGTCTGGTGGTAAATATTTGGTATTTTCAATTAGCTATTACCAACTCATGCAAATTTTTATAAATTTTTGAGAGGTTTAGACAGTTACTTAATTCGTAATTTTGAAGAATACTTCATGTTTAATCTTAACATTTCTATGCGTAAGACTAGATTACATAAAAATTATGTAATATGCACTTTCTGGTTCATAATATTTCCAACAAGTTACAAAGGTTGCAAAGGAAAATCAACAGGCAATTCAAGCCTAACTTTACCAAGGCCATTCATGAGACATTCTTTGTTTTGTATATTTATGCAAACTAATTTTACAAAACTTGAACAGTTTACAAACATCCGCTAAAAAATTGCAATCGAAAATATTACTTTCCCCGGATTAAATTTTACCATCACATTTCTAACAGTGCATTTTATTCATCAAACAAAAGTAGGAGATATGTTGTCATTCACAAAATTTCCATAAAAAAGTTGTCAGTTTGAAAAGCAATATTTCTGCCCACGGGTTTTCTCTTTATTACGTATAAAATTGCAAATCCGGCCGTGTTTGTTGTTTGTCTGTCACTGTTCGAGGGTCGCACATATCTGGCAAATA